ACTGATCTCTATTTTAATATTTTTTTATTAAAAGATGTATTGGATAATTTTTTTATTTAAAAAATAAATTTTTTTTTAGTATACAACGAATATAAATAACTCTTTATAAAATGCACAAATTCTAATATTTTCGCTAGTGTAGTTCTAACCCAACCTGCTTAATTTCAAAAATTGCATCTAATAATATTAGTTTGGCTTAGTGGTGGTTTATCAAAACTCTAAAGAATCATTTTTAACAGTTTAACCCACTAATTATAAAGAACTACTTTTGTTAATAGTAATATAACTTTAACCCACTTAAATTCTAAAAAACTGACTTAAAGAACTAACTTTGCTACTAGTAGTTCAGACCTAACTCTCTTGAAAACTAAATATTTTTTTGTTAATAAAGTTTTAATAACAATAAATTTGAATTTGGAAAAACAACCGTTGTTAATGATATAGTAAAACCTCTATAAATGTTACCTTTTATAACTGCACACCCTCTCTAGATATGTGTTCAATCTGGCCCAAATATATGTGTGGCCTCTATTAATATACTTTTTCTTATTGTTAGAGGCTTTACCGTAATTTTAGTTTTGATCTTAAAATTCTCTAAATCCTGACAAGTTAACGAGACCAATAGTTTAATTTACCTGATCGCACTTAGCAAGTTCCACTCTTTCAAACAGTTCTTATTGTAGGTGACTTTGGAAGTTTATACTATAAAAAAAAGCCTTCAACTCGAAATTAGTTTTACCTACATAAATGAAATGAAAGGCCTTCTTTAGAGACATGATTCTTTTCAAATTTATTATTTATCTCATTTTAACCTTAAAAATAAGAAAATACTAGTATATCTAAACCATCGTACCTTGTCTCGTAAATATGATTTCCTTTTATGAAACCCTTGAAAATTGTGTTTGAAAAGGCCCTGCTGTTGCAATTTACTATGAAAATCAGGTTTATCATATAGATGTCGATCGCTCAAATTTTATAATAAAAATTTACCCTCCTGATCTGTGTGACAAATCGTGTGACTGTTAGTTAACCAAGACTGGTGTTACTATTTGAAATTGGAAGAGCATCAGATAGGATAGTGCCAAGATAGTTAGGGTGATAAATGAATATAAAATATATTGAGACAGAATATAATATATAAAATAAAATAAAATAAGAAAAACTACAAAACAATAAAATAAAAATAAAATTTGTCTAAACTAAAACTACATAAAGCATAACAAGCCAATATGTTTATTATTAATCAATAAGGAAACTTTGTCTATTTAAGACAAAAACCTCAAACAAAAACATTGAGACAAAGAACCTGCCTTTACAAAAGGATGAAGACATGGGGTTTATATACATGTTAGCTAACTAAAAATTCTAATGATACAATACAGATAATATATCATATTGTATTACTAATCTTTATTTATAGCTAATACCAATCAAGCTTTTTAGCATATTAAGGCCCGAATTAAGAGTTACACTCCAGCCATTAATCTCAGAGAACAAGGCTCAATTTACCAATATGTAATACTGACACTAGTTAAAAGCTAGCAAATCAGGTATACTATATTTAAAACTGATAACTACCTGATTGTTGCTAATTTTTAAATTTGGCAGCCCGATTGATGCCGATTTATGGTGCAAATTGGCATACAATCTTGACAAATCAAACATCTACCAGATATTGATCGGGCATTGATCAGTACCAAACTAAGATATATACGTATATACGTATGTACACAGATATCAATATAATGTTCATATTGTACCCAGATTAAAATTAGAACATCCGAGGTATGACATAATTATATAATTTTGCGCAGAATAAAATCTTAATGATTAATAGTTTATCAATGCATAAGATTACATATTATATATTTCATGTGAGATATGAATTATTGTATTTTGCACGATATATGAAATTTTTATTATACTTGTTGCACAAGAGCAAATCTCTAGGTACAATGTCTAATTTTAGAACATCAAATTTTTTCAAATTGAAAAATATTAATTCATATACTGTAAGTAAGAACCAGCATTTTAATTTGAATTGAAAATCTTAAAATTTATCAAAAGTATTAAAGCTAGTCCATTCCAAAAGTATTAAAGCTAGTCCATTCCAAACACAATTAGTCTAATAAAACCAGTTCCAAACTCTTAAGTCTAATTTGTTCTGTTTTATCTTATTTATTTTATTTATTTATTTTATTCTATTTATTCAGTTTTTTTAATATTTATCAGTTTGATTATTATTTTATCACTTTTTTTGAAATTTTTTTGATTTATTCAATGAATCTTTTTTATTTCATTTATTAAACTATTTAAAAACCAGATTAACACAAAATACTCTATAATACAAAGGTAAGTGTACATGATCTATGATTTTTACTAATTAGAAAATTTCTTAAAATTCAATTTATGATCGGCCCAGAATTAGAAGACTATAACCATCCACCTAAATTATTACTAGAAAGGCTTGAATGTTTAGCACTTCGAACAACATATGAAACTGATCTTCCATTGTATGCTTTGTCAGCAAATAATCTAATTATAGTGGGCCATATCATCAAAGAAATGTTATTCGATACTGTATTTCAATTGTGACTTTTCCAGGTATATTGTATAACAGTAAGTTTCAATGCTATTATTTGGACATAGAAGTGCTAGTAAGGGAAAATAAGACTTCAGACTTTCAAATTTATTATCAGTTATTTATTGGATTCACCTCGTGAAAAATCTGCTTTGCAATATATATGCTTTACTATCAAAATTTTTAATAAGCTGAATTCGACAAATAATAAATGATAAAATTGAAAGCCCGAAGTCTTATCTTTCTTTAACAAACTGCAGATTTAAAAGAGTTTGACAAAGTGGCCCCAAAAGTCTGGTTATATAATGATCGATAATTCACACCCTGCCAAATACATGAACAACATATATTTTATTTCATATATAAAGTGACTCATTGTATTTTTTTGAATCGTGACAATTGCTGTAGCAGAGTTAATTACCTACTATCATGTATCCGGCGGGGTGTAGATCATCAACCATTATGTAACCAGCTATCTGTTGAACTTGATTTAAAACAATTTGAACTTGAAATTGAAGCTAATGCTTGGTCTAAGGTTAATAACAACACTAGTAAGGTTAAACAATGCTAGTAAGTATAAAAAAATAAAAATTACTCATACCTAGCTATCACTTCTTTATGATAGATTAAGAGACCTTATTATATAGTTGCATCATTTAAGATTTTTAGTTATTCCATAAATCACAATTGCAGAATTAACCCTACTAAGAAAGTTGCTTATTGTTCTTGCGGAGTGTGTTTGTTACTGCTTTTTCCATCTTCTAATCCAAGAATATTGGTGTTTACAAAGAGTGCATCTACTTATATTTTTCCATTTAGTGATTCGAGTTTATTTTTGCAAAGTGTATCTGCTTATGCTCTGATCAAGTTTCTTCTAAGATTTCAAGAAATTAGTAAAGTGTCTTGCAAAATGCTTTTTGCTGATGCTTTTTCTGATTCAGGTTATTCTTATATAGTATACTTTTCTGCCACCTACTCCAAATTCGTCCTTTCTAAGATTTCAAGTCAATGAAGTATTCTTGCAAAGTGCTTCTGTTAACATTCTGATCTAAGTTTTAGTGATAGGCGATTACCTATTAGTAAAATTAGAATTAACAGCAATCATTTATGAATTTTGTTAACAAATATGTCATTGATGAACGATTAATTAATTATAGAATAGAATAAAACTTCTTTTTACATACTTATTATTATCTAATAATAATATAGTTAGAATTAGAGTTACTGTATATAAAATTTATCGTTGTATATAATTTCAATGTTATTGTTACATATTTACAATAAAACCAAGTAACATTAAGAAATAACTTGCTCATTACTACTGGGTTTATTCTTGCAAAGTGCATCCGCTCATAATCTTCACCATCTAGTCCAAGTTTATTTTTTCTAAGATTTCAAGAAGTCAGCGAAGTGTTCTTATAAAGTGCTTCTGCTAATCTTCTGGCCTAGGTTCATTTTTGCAAAGTACATTCGCTCATACTTTTCCACTGTCTGATTCAAGTTTATTTTCTAAGGCATAAGTAAAGTGCTCCTGCAAAGTGTTTCTGCTAACCCTTTTACATCCTTGATCTGGGTTTAGTTCTTGCAAAGTACATCTGCTCATTCTTTCCCACTACTTATTTCAAGTTTATCTTTTTACCGTAATTCAGTTTCATTCTCAGAGATTCAAATTAGTGTAGTGTTTTTGAAAAGTGTTCTTTTTTTACTTCTGATCCAAGCTTATTCTCCAAGATCCAAAAAGATGTTCTTGCAAGATGTTTCTGATCAAAAATAAAAAAAACTTAAAAAAAACTTTAAAAAGAAAACTTTAAAAATAAATATAATAATAAAAAAAAACTTAAAAAAAAATAAAAAAAACTTAAAACAAATCTTGTGAAGAGTTTAAGGGTGGTTTCTTTAAAATTTAAGTGATCGATGCCACTGCCACAGCAATTAGATAATCAAGTCAATCAAGAAATTAATCTGTAGTAGTAGTAGAGCACAAAATTGTAGCATGATATATCCTAATATTTTTTTGGCAATTTTTTTATTAAACGGAATTTAAAATCTATAACCGAAGGTAGCAATGATAGTAGTAATCAGTTATGATGTAAGAAAGTATCAAAAATCTTGAACAAACAGAAAATTTCCAACTATCAAAAAATTGGGCTAGAATTTTTCTTAATTTACCGGAATCTCCGATATTTTATAGTAGATTTTGTGCTCTGAGTAGTAACATCAATCATCAACCCAGGAGCTGCCTTGAAGACAATCATGTAATTTGTTGATGTTTAATTCTCCTGATTACATATTGAATTTCTTCTAACTACATGCTGAATTTTTCCTGATTACATACTAAATTTTTCCTGATTACATGCCGAATTGCACCAACAATCGACATAAATCGAGACTAATTATTTTATAATTTTATACAAATCAGATTACTGCATAAATTTGTATCAATCAGGGCTATAGCAAATTTACAATTTAATAACAATTGGGTATATATCAGTTTAAAATAAGACATATGCCCGATTTTTTTTACTTTGACTAATATGACTGGCCCAATTCATAAATTGGATATAAGATACAAAAAATAAAAATATCAGGGTAAGAGTATAGAGAAACAAATAAGGAAGGAGTAAATAACAAAAATAGAAATAAAGTAGAACAATAGAAAGACAATTAAGGAAGAAGGGATAACTAATATAGTAACAAAAGATAACTATATATAGTAGTAATACAGAGTGAATATAAGTGTTATAATTAAGGAAGAGATAAAATAAAGATTTAACAAAAATCAAGAAGGATAATTAAATCACAATATTGTAGAGCTAACTAATAAATAAAAATTTTAAATACAGAAATGTTACGATAGCAACATACTCTCCTCTTTAAATTTGAATACTTGCAAAAAATCTCAAGACTAAAATACAAGTCTTAACAAGCAACATCACTATTATCAAAATAGAATTGGAATCAAAAAGGATGAACAGAAAAATTTTGATAACACTATTGTATCAAAGAGTACTCAGTAAAACTTTCCTAGCTCTGATACTTTGAAGAATATGTAATTAAATTTTCTCAGCTTCGATAGATGACAACAATCTTAAATTAGATCAACATTTGAGTTTTATAAAGACTGAAGAAAATAGAAGTCAGTTTTTTTTTGAAGAAGAATATAGATTCATCAAAGGTAGATATGTTAGCTTTCTCTGCTGAGTTTTTTAAATCTTTGTCACTGGTTTCCCAAATATCAGAGCTCTTATTAGACGATAGGTTAGAGTTTTTAGATAAGGTGCTTAATAATTTTGGTAAATTGGAGTCTGTATCTATCTTTGCTATATATACAGAGAGACATTTAGTAGCATAGTGTCCTTGTCTATGACAGTTGTAACAGACATGTCATTTTCACTTCTATAACTAAGCAGTGGAATTTTGAAGACTAGTTTCTTCGCTTGATATTTCATTTAACTGAAGGCTGGCATAATAATTTAAGGTTGAAGTTGGATAATAGGATAAACTTTGGATTTGGAAAAGTTGTAGGTATATTGTAACTAGCAAAACCAAGTAGATGAGTTGGTAGATCTTTTCATTATCTATTTCAATCTTAGTATGGATAAAGCTTTGGTAAAGAAGTTTCGAATTGTTGTAGTCTTAGTTTCAAAGATGTGTTTGAACTAAGGGTTAAAGTCTGAAAAATGAAAGCCAGAGTATTTACACAACTGGCACTATATGTTACTATTTGAAATTAGAAGAGCGTCAAATAGGATAGTGCCAAAATAGTCAAAGTGGTAAATGAATATAAAATATATTAGGACAGAATATAATATATAAAATAAAATAAAATAAACTACAAAACAATAAAATTTGTCTAAACTAAAACTGCATAAAGTATAACAAGCCAATACATTTATTATTAATCAATAAGAGAACTTTATCTACTTAAAACAAAAATCTCAAACAAAAATATTGAGACAAAGAATCTGCTTTTACAAGAGGGTGAAGATATAGGGTTTATATACATGTTAGCTAACTAAAAAGTCTAATGATACTAGATAAATGCATAGCATTGTTTGTCTGGAACTCAATTTTAATTTTTGCAAATTATATTATTTTTTTATAATTTTATTAATAAAATTATAAAAAATATTTAAGTTTTCAAAATTTTACCAATTAATTATATTTGTAGGTTCTAAATAAACTTGTTCTACATGTAAAATTTAAAATTATAAAGTAAACAAATACTTATAATGTGTATTTTTATGTATAGAACAAGTTTACTTAGAGTATAAAGATATATATATATATATATTTATTTTTCAGCCTAACAAAAGTGGCCAGAACACTGATAGCGTCTTTATAAAGATATATTTAATTAGTTGAATATTAAAAATCATATTATTTTCTATAATTTTATTAATAGAATTATGAAAAATATTAATATTCTCAAAATTTTACTAATTATTTATATATTTATATTCCAAATAGACTTGTTCTAAGTGTAGAAATATACTATATTAGTATATATTTACATTATAATTTTAAATTTTAAGAAAAAATATCTAATTTTATAATTTTTAATTAAAAATTCAAAATTAAACATATTTTTTTAAAAATTTAAAGTTATAAAGTAAATATATACTAGTATAATGTATTTTTGTATATAGAACAATTTTACTTATAATATAAAGATATAATTAATTAGTAAAATTTTAAAGATTTAAAAAAAAAACTTTTTCCAATGATCACTTGGACCGAAATTCCTATTAACGAAATTCCTATTAACGAAAAACAGAAAAATTTGTTGGAGAGTCTTGGTCTACTGGCGGTTTGTCTAGAGGTCAATCTACTACTACGGGGACTCCTCTACAAGGGACATTTGGCATGCAAGCCAAGAGCGTTATTATACAAGATAACTGGCAGGGGTGCCCTTGTATAAAAAATCTTGGTGGCGGGTGGTTCAGAAACAGGCTGACGTTGTCAACAAAGCTTTTAGGTTATTACTTTGAAGAAGAACACTGGAGAAACAACAAAATATCTGTTGCTCTAAAGCCGCACTCTTTTTTCTTGTCTCAAGTGACTCCTCCACTACTTATTTTTGACTTCCTGCTATTCTTTCAAAAAATTTCAACAAAAAGTGAGAATTTGGCTTACCCTCTCTAAAAGATCGGCATTGTGTACATCCAAATTCGGACAGACTCGGTATGATTACAACTGACATGTCTTGTTTACTTAGAAGATACAGCGCTACTCCACGTGACTTGGATCGGGGTCTCAGGTTAAAAAGATATCGGGATTTGGCTATTAGTTGGAGGGTATACATTGGGGTTTTGTTTTCATAATTGAGATATACAACGGTTGTAGTTGTTATAAAATTTTTATTGTAACTTGGCACGGGTTATAACAGTGTATTTGTCTTGTTTGTGCCAACCTTCGGGTTGCTTGGCTACTTCTTGATAGAGGTAGCACCTACTTTGTCAGCCTTCTTGGCTTTTCTCTTTGTTTTTCTTTTTTTACATGTCCTTTTCCTCTTTTTTTTTCCTTTAAAATTTCCCTTTCATTTAATTTGTTTTGTTATTAGATATAGTT